TTATCCATGTATTGTTTTCTATGAAATGTCCTATCCACTTCTTTCTTCTCTCCATGATTATCATCCATATTAATCTGTTTTCATTTATTCTCTTATACACTTCTTCATTAGTCACTCATTCTGTCCAAGAAATTTTTAAGACCCTTCGCCAGCATCATGTTTCAAAAGCCCCTATTTTCTTTGGTCCGCCTTAATTATTGTCAAAATTGAATTTGTGGTTAGAAGTCTATTCTTTTTGAAAAACATTTGTTTAGACTGTGCTATTCTACACCTTATGTCTGAGTCACTTTTCCCGTTACTTGTGACTCTACTTCCGAGATATATATAACTATTTACATTTTTCAACTTAATATCGTCCATGATTATGTTGGTGTCTACTTGTTGTCTACTACATACTAGTATGTTTGTCTTTGTCTTATCAATATTCATACTGTATTCTTGTTTAAGTGTGTTATTCATTTTTTGAAGCATTTTTTCTTCGCTGCGTGCTATCATTGAAATATCATTTGCGAATCACAGCATCTGAACTAGCATCCCACCAACCTTGATCCCTCAAATATCTTCATTTCTCTTAGATCTTTTAGCGATTCCTCAATATATAATATATTTGGTAAAGGTATCATTACGCATTTTTCGAAGTCTTCAGGCACTTATACTATTTCATACGTCTTTATTGTTGCACTACACAGTGCTTCCTTCCAAGTTTCTTCTAAAGGTATACGAAGTTTGGTTAAAATTTCAGGTTTTAAGTTAAAAAATTCTGACGACATAAAATTTTTGAAAAAATATTTATTAAAAATTTTTTTCTCTTCTTGGTAAATAATTTTCTCAGAATAACGCCGAGTTATTTTATAAAAAGAATTGGACATCTTTAAGTCATTTTTCCAGCATTGACTAAATATTTAATATTTTATTATATAATATAATTAGTTAATAATTCAAAGTTCAAACATATTTTAATTTTAATCAAAATTTTTAATATTTACACCAATCAAGCTTAAATCTATAAAAATCCGTAAAAAATTTATTCAAAGAATGTTTTAATTTAAGATGCGAACACAACAAAAATATTTCATTGTCAAAATTATTTATTTAAATCATAAGTAATAATAGCAATAAAACAATAAAAATGCGTAAAACGTGTCTAAAATCAACTTTTACAAAATATAGATCCATTACTTGTTTATTTAAGCAAATAAAACTTTATTACTTAAGAAAAAAATATGTTCACATTTTACATTTATACAATACAATGACGCCAACAACTTTTTTTGAAATGATTGGTCTTCTAATATTTGCCACTCTA